TTTAGTGTATGAGCCATGATACTGTGGTGGCACAGTAGTTAGAGTGCAGTACTGCAGGCTCCTTCTGCTGACTGCCAGCCGACTGCAATTTGACAGTTCAAATCTCTCCCGGCTCAAAGTTGACTCAGCCTTCCGCCCTTCCGAGGTGGGTAAAATGAGGACCCAAATTGTTGGGGGCAAGAGGCTGACTCTAAATTGCTTAGAGGGGGCTGCAAAGCATTGTGAAGTGGTATATAAGTCTAAGCGCTATTGCTATGGCAGGCTAACTGTATTCTATTCACCTTTGACTACGCTGTAGTGATTGTTTCTCCATACAGGCAGATGACGGACTATCCCGAAGAGAAGATTTTGAGCTGTTTGCCAAGCCAGAAGTACACGGCCCGCGCAGCTTCTTTTCAACGGCACCTCAGCCTCACTCTCTCCTGTCAACTTCTTCCGAGAGCGTGGATTCAGCCAGGAGCTCCTTCACTCTCCCAGAGGAACAGTGCGCTCCGCCCGCAGTCAGAACTGCTCAGTCCTGGGAGCAAAGCATGGGGGAATCCAGAGGCAGGCAGGAGAGGTCGGAAGGCAAAAAAAGAGGGGCCCTGAAAAAAACGGCCACCTCCAAAAGGCATCATCAGCTTCGCCAACCTCTGGCTGACCGAGATTCCTTTGGATCAGCTGGTCTTAGCCGAAGCCCCGGCGGCTTCCTCGTGGCTGATCCGCAGCCCTATCCTTTTGCCTATAAACTCAGCCCGGATCGGTGGACTCTACGGGAGGCGGAGCCCGTTCCAGGGTACAACCTGCACCCGTCACAGGAGCTGCACAGTTCTCAGCTTGTAGATTTAGGACTCATAGAAAGAGCCGCTCCCGAATCCCAGACTTCTTTCGACGTCTTAAAAAGTATCTGGAGTCCTAAACGGGCCAGCAAGGAAGCCAAGCCCTCCCAAGCCCTGGCCTGTACTTCCTTGGCTCACCTGCCCCTGTCTTCCAGGGAGTGGAACTCAGAACAAGGGCAGCCGAAGGAATTTTTCCAGCTCAACGCCCTCTCCCAACAACCCCACTCCTTCTACAGGCACTGTTTCCAGCAAGAAGTCTCTGCGCCCAGCAGGGACCCTCAGCTGAAGAGTGGCGTCTCTGCACAAGGAAAACCTAGACTCTATTACCAGAAGGTCTCAGCCGAACAAGGGAGAACCTCCCACAATTACCCATTCTGGGGGCTGGCCGAGGCCTCCGAAAAAACACAAACGTCTAGAGAAAAAGGAGCCGGGAACCAGATTTGCAGCTTGGAGAGGCTCCTTCATTTGGGAAACCTGCAGCAACTGCAGGCTTTACAGCAACTGCCCATGTCTTATTTCCCCCCTTCTGAGGCTTTAGAGAAAGGGATTTCTCCTCTCACTTTACAGAGTCATCTGTGGGGGCAGTCCAGTCCTGAGCCCTGGGCCTTCCCGAGAATGAGGTTGTACTGAAAAACTGCATTGTTAGAGAAACTTCGGAAGAAGAGAAAAGGAAATCACTCAGCACGAATAGGAGAATTGGAACGAGCATTAGCCACATCGGACCTATAACTGCATCTCTCTCGATCATTTTGTTCTGTGATTATTATTTTTTCTTTTCTTTTTTTGGGGGGGGGGGTAAAAGCCCACTTTGTTCAGATCGCTCACAGAATGATAGTCTCTTTTTTTCCCCCCCCAGGTAAGGCGGCCCCAGGAGGCCAATTGCTTTACAAAAGAAGATGAAGGTTGGGTCTCTTTTCATTGTGTAGGAGGAGGCACAAAATCACATTGGCAATCTTCATTAAATTACATTCTAAGAAACACAATGCGGCTCTTGCTGTTTTTGAAGAGAGGGGAACAATCCAAATGATTTTTTTTTTTTATAGGGCAGGAATAAATCTGCATCACCATATCACAAAAGATACTTGATAGGGTTTGATTTGGATTGCCGTTCTGAAACTTTTGATGCATTAAGTTGATTCAGCCTTCCATCCTTCCAAGGTTGGTAAAACGAGGAGCCAGATTGTTGGGGGCAAGAGGCTGACTCTGTAAACCGCTTAGAGAGGACTGTAAAAAGCACTGTGAAGCGGTATATAATTCTTAATTGCTATTGCTGTCTCTTCTCTATTCCAGTTGTGGGATGTGCTGTAGTGTTGATCTCTACA